GGGATGTACCGGGGCCGTCCCGGGCGCCACTGGGATGTACCGGGGCCGTCCCGGGCGCCACCGGGATGTACCGGGGCCGTCCCGGGCGCTAACGGGGCAGTACCGCGTTCTACCGGGTGGTACCGGGGGAGTCCCGGGCCGTCCTGGTCTGTACTGGGGCCGTTCCGGGCGGTGCCAAGGCCATACTGGGCGGTACTGGGGACCTCCTGTCCCCGGGAGACCCCCGGGCCGTGCCGGGGTCCGTTCCCTGCTCCCTCCGGTGCCCCCGGGGGTTGGGCGGGTCCCGGTCCCGCCGGGCACCGCCCGCGGGGGTCAAAGCTCGGCTGGGGCCGCACACGCGTGTTCAGGCGTGTTCGGGCGTGTTCGAGGGAGCTCACGTGTGTCAGGGCGAGGCCGTGCACGGGCAGGGGCTGCACGGTCACCCCCGGGGACCCCCCTTTTCCACCCCCATCACGGACCCGCGTGTGATCCTGTGCAGATCCCGTGTGGTCCTGTGAGGTCCCGTGCAGATCCCATGTGATCCTGTGCAGATCCCATGTGATCCTGTGTGATCCCGTGCAGATCCCGTGTCGCAGCCATGGAGGAGACCCAGCCCTGGGCCCCCCTGAGCCCCTCGGACTTTGCGCAGCTGCAGAAGTACCTGGACTGTGAGTGGGGCCCTGCACACGCGTGTGTGCACCCGTGGGAGGGGGGCTGCGCACGTATGGGGGCTCTGCACACGTGTGCACGCACCAGGGGCAGCTGCACACGCACACGCAGTGGCTCCACACGCGTGTGCACGTGTGTGTGTGTGTGGCCCTCAGCAGCCATGCACGTGTGTGTGGCCTCTCCCGTGTGCCAGCACACGCGTGTTCCCCTGTGCAGACGTGTCAGGGCACACGCGTGTGTGGCCTCTCCCACGTCAGGGCACACGTGTGCCCAGCACACACATGTCAGAGCACACGCGTGTCCCTGCCCTCAGACAGCAGCCGGAGGGTGCAGGACGTGCTGCAGGATTTCAGCACTGGGGGGGCTCTGGCTCAGCCCCATCAGGGCAAGGTGAGACCTGGGGGACCCCCGTGGGGTGTGGGGGGGTCGGGGGGTCACCCCCCAGCCCCCCCGACCCGGCTGTGCCCCCAGAGCCTCGACCTCGAGGGGTTCTCGCGGTTCCTGCGGAGGTACCTGGAGAGCGACGATGTCCCGGAGCCGCTTTGCCGGCGCCTCTTCGCCTCCTTCCAGAGCCAGGACGGTGAGGGGGGCTCGGGGGGCAGGGCAGGGGGCCCGGGAGGGTTTTGGGGTCCCTGGGGGGCTCACGGGGTCCGTCCCCACAGGCAGCGACTGCGTCTCCTTGAGCGACGTCTCCTGCTACTTCTCCCTGCTGGAGGGGGGACGCCCCGAGGACAAGCTGGAATGTGAGTGGGGGGTCCTGGGGGGTCTGGGGGGGCCCCAAGGACAGGGGAGTCCAGATTTGGGGTCACCTCACCTGCTGTCTCCCCACAGTCTCCTTCAAGCTGTATGACAAGGACGGGAACGGGGTCCTGGACAGCTCGGTGAGCACTGGGGGGGCTTTGGGGGGACTGGGGGGGCTGTGGGGGGACTGAGGGGGGGGAGGGCTGTGGGCATTGGGATGCTGTTGAGGGGCTGTGGGAACTGGGGGGGCTGTGAGGGGGGTCTGTGGATGTCGGGGGGCTGTGGGACCCCCCCAGCTGTCATTCCCCCCCAGGAGGTGGATCGGATCATCACCCAGATGATGAGGGTGGCCCAGTACCTGGACTGGGATGTGACGGAGCTGAAGCCGGTGAGCAGGGCCGGGGGGGCTGTGTGGATTTGGGGGGACACCCCCCATCCCCCTGCCCCTCCTCTGAGCGCCGTGTCCCCCCCAGATCCTGCAGGAGATGATGCGGGAGATCGACTACGACGGCAGCGGGACGGTGTCCCTGGGCGAGTGGCTGCGGGGGGGGGTCACCAACATCCCGCTGCTGGTGCTGCTGGGGCTCGAGGGGGTGAGTCTGGGGGGGCTGAGGGGGACCCCCTGCCCGGGACCCCCCCCGAGTGCCCCCCGTGTGCCCCCAGGACATGAAGGACGATGGGCAGCACCTCTGGCGCCTGAAGCAGTTCTCACGTCCTGCCTTTTGCAACGTGTGCGAGGGGCTGCTCGTGGGGCTGCGGAAACAGGGGCTGCGCTGCTGCCGTGAGCAGGGCTGGGGTGGGAGGGGAGGGGAGGGAGGGGAGGTGATGGGACGGGATGGATGGGATGGGAGGGGAGGGGAGAGGAAGGAAGGGGACGGGGACAGGGATGGGAGAGGATGGGGTGGGGATAGGATGGCTACAGGGATGGGATGGGACAGGGGTGAGGACAGGATGGGAATGGGATGGGTGAGGGGACAGGATGTGGTGAGACTGGGACAGTGTCAGATGGGATGGGGACGGGGCTGGGCTGGGCTGGGGGTGGAAGTGGGGGCCAGCTCCGAGCCCTGTTCCCCCAGTGTGCCGGTTCACGGTGCACGAGCGCTGCGCCCGCCGGGCCCCCCACAACTGCATCAGCACCTACGCCAAGAACCGCAGGGAGGCCGAGGTGAGTCCGCCTGTCCGTCCGCCTGTCCGGCTGGGCATCCACCCACCCACCCACCTGGGCATCCATCCACCCATCCATCCATCCATCCGTCCACTCATCCATCCACCCGCCTGTCCATCTGTCCACCTGTCTGTCCCTTCACCTGCCCTTCTGCCCATCCCTCCACCTCTCCGTCCCTCTGTCCTTCTGCCCGTCCGTCCAGGGGGCCGGGGGTGCTGAGGTTGCCAGGGGGTGACCCGGGCAGTGGGGTGGGGTGGGGTGGGGTGACCCCAGGGGTGACCTGGGGGGGTCACCTGCAGGTCCAGGCCCACGTGTGGGTGAGGGGCGGCTGTGACGGTGCCAAGTGCAGGGAGTGCCAGAAGAAGATCCGGAGCTTCCAGAGCCTGACGGGGCTGCACTGCGTGTGGTGCCACCGCAAGGTGGGGGTCCCGGGGTCACCAGTCCCCCCCGGCCGCCCTGACCCCCTGTCCCCAGATCCACGAGGAGTGCCAGCCCCTTCCCCGTGCTGTCCCTGTGGTGTCCCCATCCCTGTGGTGTCCCCATCCCTGTGGTGTCCCCATCCCTGTGGTGTCCCTGTCCCCATGGTCCCCCTGCTGTCCCCATCGCTGTCCCCGTGGCCCCCCTGCTCCCTCTGTCCCCAGATCCATGAGGAGTGCCAGCCCCTCGTGCCCCCAGCCTGCGACTGTGGGGTCCTGCGGGACCACGTCCTGCCCCCTGCCTCCATCTACCCCGTCCTGCTGGTGAGTGGGGTCCTGGGGGTGCTCCTGGGGCAGGGATGTGCCCCCCACTCCCCACCCGGCCCCCCTGAGCTGGTGTGGGGGTCCCAGGAGAGGCAGGACAGCCAGAGAGACAACGGTGGGACACCGGTGGAGGACACCCCCCAAGTGTTCACCACCCCTGAGGGGCAGGCACTGCGGGTGAGCCACGACCCTCCTGCGCCTCTGGGACCCCCCCGGGACCCCCATGGGCCCCCTCGAGTCCCCTCCATGTCTGCCCACCCCTGGGGCCAGGCTGACATCCCCTCTCCCCCCAGGTCAGTCCCCCCCCTGACACCCACCCACTCCTCGTCTTCGTCAACCCCAAGAGTGGAGGGAAACAGGGGGAGAGGTAAAGGGGGGCTGGAGGGTCCTGGGGCTGCTCTGCACCCGGGGGGGGCCGGGATGGGGTGGGATGGGACAGGGATGGGGACAAGGGATGGGATGGGGACAAGGGATGGGATGGGATGGGATGGGGTGGTTTGTGGGAACCAGGATGATGGCCAGACCATATTTCATTATGGTGGGGAGGGGGTGGCCACCGGTCCCCCCAGGCCCCCCTGTCCTCCCCAAGCCCCCCAGCTCCCCGTGTCCCCCCAGGGTGCTCCGGAAGTTCCAGTACCTGCTCAACCCCCGGCAGGTTTACAACCTGCAGAAGGGAGGCCCCATGCCCGGGTGAGTGGGGATGGGGACGGGGGGGGCACTGGGGTGCCCGGGGGGGCCCAACCCAGCCCTGACCCCCCTCCCTCCCAGGCTGGATTTCTTCCGGGACGTGCCGGATTTTCGTGTCCTGGTGTGCGGGGGGGACGGCACCGTGGGCTGGATCCTGGATGCCATCGGTGGGTGCTGCCCCCCCCTCGCTGGGCGCTGCCCCCCCCGGCCCCCAGGCCCCTCCTCACCCCTCTTTCCTTGCAGACAAAGCCAACCTGCCCCGCCGGCCGCCCGTGGCCGTCCTGCCCCTGGGCACCGGGAACGACCTGGCCCGCTGCCTGCGCTGGGGGGGAGGTGAGAGGGGCAGGGCAGCCCGGGGACACCCCCGTGCCCCCAGCCCCTCTCCCCCCATCCCACACACCCCCCCGCCGCAGGGTACGCGGGGCAGGACCTGGGCAGGATCCTGTGGGAGCTGAAGAGCAGCACCGTGGTGCAGATGGACCGGTGGGGGCTGGAGGTGCTGCCCCAGGACCCGGCGGCCGAGGGGGACCCGGTGCCCCAGGGCATCATCAACAACTACTTCTCCGTCGGGGTGGTGCGTGGGGAGGGGGGTGGCCACCGGGGGGGGGCTGTGTGTCCCCCCCAGGCCCTCACTGTCCCCCCCGGGCCCCCCAGGACGCCTCCATCGCCCACCGGTTCCACGTCATGCGGGAAAAGCACCCGGAGAAGTTCAACAGCAGGTGGGGGGGGGACAGAGCCACTCCCCCCGTGTCCCTGTGGTGTCTCCATCCCTGTTCCCTTGGCATCCCCATCCCTGTGGTATCCTTATCCCCATCATGTCCCCGTGATGTCCCCCACGGTGTCCCTGTCCCCATCCCCCTGGTGTCCCCATCCCTGTCCCCATCCCCGTCCCCATCCCTGCCCTCCCAGGATGAAGAACAAGCTCTGGTACCTGGAATTCGCCACCTCAGAGACCCTTTTCTCCACCTGCAAGAGGCTCAAGGAGCACCTGAGTGTGGAGGTGGGAGGGGTCCCTGCCCCGGGGTGGGGGGGAGTTGGGGGGCTCTGCCCGGCCTGACCTGCCCCCCCCCAGGTCGGCGGGACCCCCCTGGAGCTGGGGGGGTCCCTGGAGGGGCTGGCAGTGCTCAACATCCCCAGCACCCACGGGGGGTCCAACCTGTGGGGCGAGACCCGGCGGGCGAGGGGGCCCAGGGCGGCACAGCCCCCCAACGTCACCGACAGCGAGACCCTCCGGAGCTGCGTGCAGGGTGGGTGGGGAGACCCCTGCCCAGAGCTGGGGGGGACACCACGGGGACAGGGGGATGGGGACACCACGGGGACAGGTGAGGGATGAGGACAGAGATAGGGATGGGGACAGGGACAGGGATGGGACACCACAGGGACCAGGACAGGGATGCCATGGGGATGGGGACGATATGGGGGTGAGGACAGAGACAGGGATGGGGACAGGGGATGGGACACTACAGGGATGGGGACAGGGATGTGATGGGGATGAGGATGGGATGCCATGGGGATGGGGATGATATGGGGATGGGACCCCACAGGGATGGGCACAGGGATGTCACGGGTATGAGGATGGGGACAGGGGGTGGGGACACCACAAGGACATCGTGGGGATGGGAATGAGGATGCCACGGGAATGGGGGCAAGGACATCATAGGGAAGGGGATGCCAAAGATCTGCCCCCATTGCCCTGCCACCCCGTGCCCCCCAGACCTGGGTGACGGGCGGCTGGAGGTGGTGGGGCTGGAGGGGGTTCTGGAGATGGGGCAGATCTACACCGGGCTGAAGAGCGCGGGGACTCGCCTGGCGACCTGCTCCGAGCTCACCCTGAGGTGAGGGGGGCCCGGGGGGCTCTGGGGGGTCTGGGGGGGCTCAGGCCCCGCAGTGACTGACCTGGGGGGGTTTGCAGGACACTGAAGGCCCTGCCTATGCAGGTCGATGGGGAGCCCTGGATGCAGCCGCCCTGCACGGTACATGAACACCCCCCCCCATCTTCAGTGAGCCCCCCAGGGACCCCCGAGCGTGGGGAGCCCCCCCAGCCCCCCACCCCAGCCTCTGTCTTGCAGATCAGGATCACCCACAAGAACCAGGTGCCCATGCTCATGGCTGCCACGTCCCGTTCCTGCGGCGTCTTCGGCACCAAGAGGGGCTCCCTCGAGGCCTGAGGGGGCCGGGGGGGGCTGGGGGAGCCCCCCCGAGCTGTGCCCGGGCAGGGAACACAGGCCAACCCTGCCTACCCCCCCTCCCCAGCAGGAGCAGGGGGGCCGTGCCCCTCCCCTGCACCCAGGGGTGCTCAGAGCCTGGGGGGGCAGGGGGGAGCAGGGGGGGCTGCACGAAGCCCCCCAGGGTGCAGCACAGTGGCCAGAGCCCCCCCCCGCCTGGCCCCCCCGCTATTTATTCCCCCCCCAGTTCCAAGTGCCTGTTGCAGGAATAAAGCTGGTGTTGTGATAAGCACTGGTGCTGGTTGTGCCCCCCGGGACCCCCCCAGACCCCCCAGACACACAACCAGGCGGAGGCACCGGCGCAGATGAGCCTTTAATCTTGGTGGCACCGAGGCCACGCGACCCCCCCACGGCCCGCGGCCCCCCCGGGTCTGGGGCTCGGGCCAGGCAGGGGCGGCGCGGGGCGGGGGGGGTCCCTAGACGGTGTTCCCGCGGAGGAGGGGGCTGCTCTCGCCGCTCGGAGCCCCCCCGAAGGCCCGGTGCAGCAGCAGGCGGAGGGCGGGGCCGGGGGGCAGCCACCCCCGGGGCCGGGGGGTCGGGGGGGCCATGGCCAGCAGGGGGGTGTACTTGACTCGTCTGGGGGGGCACGGAGGGGGTCAGTGTTGGGGGGGGCCGTGGAGGGGGGCCCAGGTTGTGCCGGGGTGCCCCCCCCTCCCAGTGTGTGTGTCCATCCCCAGTGTGCCCCCCACCCCACAGTGTGTGTGTGTGTGTCCCCCTCACCCCACAGGACCCCCCACCCCACTGTGTGTGTGTGTCCCCCGTGTCCCCCTCACCCCACAGGGCCCCCCACCCCACTGTGTGTGTCCACCCCACTCCCTGGTGCCCTCCACCCCATGGTGTGTGTGTGTCCCCAAGCGTTCCCCCCGCCCCACAGAGCCCCCCACCCCACATGGTGTCTCCCCCCAGTGTCCCCCCATCCCACAGAGCCCCCTGCCCCACGGTCTGTGTGTCCCCCGCCATGTGTCCCCCCGATGTCCCCCTGACCTGTAGGTGTAGGCGGCCGTGCCCAGGGCAGCAGCGACGAGCACCAGCCCCACAAAAATCGTGGGGCTTCCCGAGGCCGGGGCAGCGCCTGCGGGCAGGGACAGCTCAGCACCCGCGGCCCCCCGGGACCCCCCACCCCCAGGGCCCCCCGTCCCGCTCCCACCTCCGACGGCCACGCGGGTGCTGGCCACGGCCAGGCCGTTGCCGTTGGCCAGGGACACGTTGAGGCAGTAGAGGCCGGACTGGTTGAAGTCCTGGCGCAGCACGAGTTGGCAGCCGGGCGCGGGTGCCACGGCCGAGCACGTCTCCGTCTGCGCCGTCTGGCACTCGGGGTCGGCCACCACCGTGCACACCTCCTGGGGGAGGCTGCGGGGGGACGGGGGGGCTCAGCCGGTGTGGACCCCCCGCCCCAGCGCGGGGTCCCGCCCCCGTCCCCCTCCCCGTGCTCACCTCCCCTCGCAGGTCACCGTCAGCTCCACGCTGCTCCCGCTGCCCTCGGGCACCACCGGCACCACCTGCACGATGGCCACGCTCTCGATGCCCTCTGCAATCAAGGGGGCAGGGTGGGCTCAGCTGCCCCCGCCCGGAGCCCCCCCGAGCCCCCGGCCCGGCACTCACGGACAATGTCGAGCTGTGTGGAGAAGGTGCCGTAGCGGTACAGGATGCAGCCGGTGGAGTCTGCGGCCGGTGCCTGGCGCTTCACCAGCACCAGCGGCGCGGCGGTGGCTCCGGTGCTGGCTCTGGTGCTGGCTCCAGCCGTGGCAGCAGCAAGGGATACAGCCGTGGCTCCCACGGTTGCTCCCACTGTTGCTCCAGCTGTGGCATCAGCTGTGGCTCCAGCTGTGGCTCCAGCTGTTGCATCAACTGTGACTTCGGCTGTGGCATCAACTGTTTCTTCAACTGTGGCATCAACCGTGACTACAACTGTGGCTCCAGCTGTGGCATCAACTGTGACTCCAGCTGTGGCTCCTGCTGTGGCTCCTACTGTGGCTTCAGCTGCAGGTCCAGCTGTGGCACCAGCTGTGGCACCATCCGTGGCTCCGTCTGTCTCTGCATCTGCAGGAGAAGGGGCTGGGAAAGGCCGAGGGGACACCGAGCCCTGGGGAACCCCCCAGACACGTCCTGCCACCCCCTGCCCAGGGCAGCACCCACCTGCAGCCACCGTTCCCTCCGAGGGCGCGGGGGCCACCGTGACCAGTGTGTCCCCTGCCGGGGCCACCGAGGTGGGGAGCAGGGGAGCCCCGGACACGGCGGGAGAGCCGGTCCCGGTGCCGCTCACGGCGGTGCTGAGCGCCAGGAGGGCGGGCTCGGTGCCAGCGGGGTCCGAGGGCTCGGTGCCAGTGGGGTCCGAGGGCTCAGCCGCCGATCCCCCCGTGGGCTCCGCCGGCTCGATGGGGGCTGTGGGAGCTGCGGGCAGAGCAAGGGCTGGGGGTCAGTCCTGTTGGGGAACGCCCGTGGGACCCCCAGACCCGCCGTGCTCCCTTACCGGTGCTGGGCGCCCCGGTGGTGCCCTGCCCGCCCGGCGTGGTGCCCGCGGGCTGGGTGGGCGTGGGGCGCGCCGAGGGCGGGGGGCCCGTGGTGGGGTTCACGATGGGGGCGGCGGAGGTGCCGCAGGGGCTGAGGGGGATGGCGGCCTGCAGGGTCAGGCGGGCGTTGAAGGACCCGGCCTCCAGGTAGGTGTGGGTGACGGTGGGGCTGCGCGAGATGAGGGTCCCGCTCTGGTCCCCGAAGTCCCAGGAGTAGGCGACGTCGGCGTCGCGCAGGTACCGGCTGGGGTCGTGCAGCCGCACGGTGAAGGCCACGGCGCGGTTCCGCACGAAGCGCCCGTCGCCCGCCGCCACGTCCTGCACCTGCTTCACGTCCACCGCGAAGGGAACCTGGTCTGGGGGGGACACGGGGGGCTGTCGGTGGGGCCGTCACCATCACTGGTTCTTGTCCCACCGCCCTGGTACCCGTCACCCCGACACCCACCGCCCTGGCACCCACAACTCCACACCCGCAACCCAGCACCCACCAGTGATGCTGAACTGAGTGCTGGCACGGCCGATGGGGATGAACTTCTGACGGCCACGGTAATGGTAGACAACGACCTCCATGGTGTAGGAGCCGAGGGGGACCCCGGCCGTGCCCACCGTGAGCCGCGACGCCGCCCCATCCACCACCTGCCAGTAGCGCCCTGTGGGGTGGGGACGGGGGTCAGCACCGGCTCAGGGCTTCCCAGATCCTGGGGAGGGGGCTGGGGTCGGGGCCTCACCCCACGTCCACCAGACGTAGACGAATTTGCCCCGCTTGCCCCTGGGGAAGGGCTGCCCGTCGGGGAAGACGCCGTCCACATCCTCGTCCGGCTGCTCTGGAAAGACGGGATCGCCCCGGGCCACGCGGGTGCCTGCGGGGAGCAGAGGGTGAGGGGCGCAGGGTGGGGGTCCCGGGGCCAGGGGTGGGGGGTTTGGGGTGGCCGCTGACCGTTGACGGTGCAGTTCTGGCTCCAGACGACGCGGCCGTCGGGCAGCACCGCCTGGGTGCCGGGGAAGCGCAGGGCGATGGAGAACGTGGCGTCGGCGCCCGCCATGGTGGGAGCGTCGTTGCTGATGTCGAAGGTGACGTCGCCGCCTGCCCGGCACAGGGATGGGGGGCTCAGGGACACGCCGAGACCCCCGCGGCCCCCCGGCCCCCCCAGGGCACCCACCTCGCCAGCAGTCGCGCATCCCCTCCTGCCACGGCCGGTACAGCTCCGCGTCCCAGCTCCGGAACGCCGCCGGCCGCCCGCTCCAGGCCCGGCTCCGGTCACGGCTCCGGCCACCGGCTCCTGGGGACGAGGGCATTGCGGCACCCAGACCCCAGCCCAGCACCCCGGCCCACCGGGGAGGCCCCCGGGACGTGCTGCCCCCTCGGTGGGGTGTCCTCGGGGACCCCGGGCCATGTGACGGGGCTCGGGCCAAGCCCCACGCGGGGCAAAGCCCATCACATGCGCCCGGCGCCGCCTCCAAAGCCCTTTCATGTGACGCTCAGCTGAGCCGGCGCCGGCAGCCCCGGGCAGGGTGGGGTGGGCACCCCCCTCACAGCCCCCCACTCCCGGGGGGCTGCCAGGTCCCCCCTGCTCCCCACTTTCGGTCTGCCAGGTCTCCCCGTATGACCCCATTTGTAGGGGGCTTAAGGACCCCCCATGGCCCCACTGTCAGGGGTCTGCCAGGTCCCCCATGTCCCCCACTCTCAAGGGTCCAAAGAGTCCCCCCATGTCCCCCCACTCGCAGGGGCTGCTGGATTCCCCTCACAGACAAAGGGGGCCCCCATTTTTTGGGCAGCACGGCATTGTGTGTCCCCCATTTACGGAGGGATGGGGACCACCCTGTCCCACCCCGCTCCCGAAGGGCTGGAGGTCCCCCCTACATCTTGGAGAAGGACGAGGACCCCAAAACTAGCTCCCCACGGCCCCCAAGGGGAGATAATTGGGGTGTAATCAGGATTTGGCTCCGGGGGGTTCTGCTCCCTTCGGTGCCCCCTGTAGCCCTCAGAGTGCCGGGATGGTCCCGTGTCGGGCTCTGGGTGCTCCCCAGACCCCCCCAAACCCACACTTACGACGCTGAGCTGCAGCCAAGGCCAGGAGGGTCCCCAGGACCACGATCACCCGCAGCACCCACATGGTCCTTCCGTGTCGTCTCCCCCCACGCTCGGGCACCGCCGGGGTAGAGGCGAAGGGGTCGGGAACGGGGGGATTTGAAGGGGCTCTCATTTGCATAATCCCACCCCAAAAAAGGGGGGGTCCCAGCCCCTCCCCGTGTGCTGCGTGGGGACACGTGTGTCCATGTGTGTGCGGCCCCGGTCACACGCTCTGGCCCTTCTCCGGGGGGGAGGGAGCGTGGGGGGACACAGAGACCCCCCAGCCCGGGGAGGGGGTTTGGAGGTGCTGCCCCCCTGCTCTCAGCACCTGGTGGCCCCAGGGACGTGGATTTGGGGTCCACGGGGACCCTCCACCCACCCAACTTAGGGGGGCCCTGGTGTGCAGGGTGGGGGGCACACGTGGGGAGACCCCCGATCTGACACACACAGAGGGGTCCCCCATCCCACCGACATGGGAAGACCCCCACTCTGCACAGGCGGGGGGACCCCTAATCTGACACCCACGAGGGGACCCCCATCCCACTGACACGGAGGGACCCCGACCTTTTCTGCTGGGGGTGTTTCCAGCGCCCACCCGGGACTCGCACCCCAGGGGGGTCCCACTCGCGCCCGGAGGGGTCCGTGTGCTTGGTGTGACTGCTCGTGCGGGACCGTGCCCGCGGGGCCGCGTGTGCGGGACAGACCCCGGAGAGCCCCGTGACCCCCCGCCCGGTGCTGCTGCCCCGTGTCCCCCCACCCACACAAACTGCTGCCACCCCCGCCCGTGGGGGTGATTCTGAGCCTGGCACGGGTTTCCTCCGGTGATCGGCCCCGCCCGGAACCCAGGGGGTCTCCGGGACCCCGTTCGGTGTCGGGGGACCCAATCCCTGGTGGTGGTCGCGGGGAGCCCACTCGTGACCCTGCGGGCTCCCGGCCGGGGGTCCCGGCAGGAGCCTGCGCGGTCCCGATCCCGGTCTCGATCCCGGCCACTGTCACGGTCCCACTCCTGATCCCAATCCCGCTCCCGGACCGCCCCCCGCGCGCTCCCTCCGGGTCGGTATCGCTTTAAGGGATCTCCCGCGTCGGCGGTGACGTCACGCGGGCCCGACCAATGGGGCTGCGTGGGGGGCGTGGCCGGCGGAAGGCGGGAAGGGCGGGGGGCGGGGCCTCCCCGACAATTGTCGCGCGCGCGCGGGGGTGACACGGCGGCCGCGCTCGGGAACCCGCGACCCCCAGGGACCTCCCCGGGACCCCCCACCCCCGGCACCCCCCCGGGACGCCGCGACCCCCAGGACACCCCCGGCACTCCCCCGGGACATCCCCCCAGCGCCGGGACACCCCCACCCCCGGGACATCCTCCGGCACACCCCCCCTCCGGTGACACCCACCTGGGACCACCCCCATACCCCCTCCCCTCCACCCTCTTCCTGTTCCCCCCCCGGTGTTTTCCCGGTTCCTCCAGGACCGGGACACCCCCTCCCTCCCCTAGACCCTCCTTTACCCCCCCCGCGGGTCCCCCCCGGGCCGCCCCTCCCGCGACCCCCCCATGGAGAACTTCCAGAAAGTGGAGAAGATCGGGGAGGGCACCTACGGCGTCGTGTACAAGGCCCGGAACAAGGTGACGGGGGAGGTGGTGGCACTCAAGAAGATCCGCCTGGACACGTGAGTGGGGGGTCCCGGGGGGGTCTGGGGGGTTCGGGGGTCCCGGGGCTCACCCCCCCTTCCCACAGGGAGACCGAGGGCGTCCCCAGCACGGCCATCCGGGAGATCTCCCTGCTCAAGGAGCTCAACCACCCCAACATCGTCAAGTGAGTGGGGGGCTGGGGGGAGCCCTGTGACCGTGTCAAGACCCGTGGCTGTGAGGGGACCCCGGCTGTGGGGAGCCGTGGCCATGGGGACCCCCGTGGCCGTGGGGAGATACAGGGAACTGTGGCTGTGGGGTGGCCCCATGGGGAGCTGAGGCCGTGGGACCCCCGTGCCTCTGGCTGTGACAGCCCCGTGGCCATGCCAAGCCCCCAGGGCTGTGGGGGGGCCCTGTGGCCCAGGCTCTGCCCACCCCTCCCTCAGGCTCCTGGACGTGATCCACACGGAGAACAAGCTCTACCTGGTCTTCGAGTTCCTGCACCAGGACCTGAAGAAGTTCATGGACTCCTCGTCCCTCAGCGGCATCGCGCTGCCCCTCATCAAGGTGGGAGGGGGGCCACGCTGTGGGGCCCTAAACCCCCCCAGGGTGACTCTGGGGTCCCTTGGTGTCCCCCAGGATGTGCCCAGGGGGTCCCTAAACCCCCCCCGGGTGACACTGGAGTGCCCCATGGCACGTCCTGGGACATCCCATCGTCACCCTGGGGGATGTGGGGACCCCTGGGCACACCCCAGCTCACCCCGAGTGGGGGTCCCGGGGGGCTGAGCAGCCTGGGGGAGGGGTCCCGGCCACGCTGACCCCCCCCCCGGCCCCGCAGAGTTACCTGTTCCAGCTGCTGCAGGGCCTGGCGTTCTGCCACGCTCACCGGGTGCTGCACCGGGACCTCAAACCGCAGAACCTGCTCATCAACGCCGACGGCGCCATCAAACTGGCCGACTTCGGGCTGGCCCGCGCCTTCGGGGTGCCCGTGCGCACCTACACCCACGAGGTGGGCGTCAGGGGGGGTCTGGGGGGTGCTGGGGGGGGTCAGGGGTGCTCACGGCGTCCCCCGGGTGTGGCAGGTGGTGACCCTGTGGTACCGAGCCCCCGAGATCCTGCTGGGCTGCAAGTACTACTCGACGGCCGTGGACATCTGGAGCCTGGGCTGCATCTTCGCTGAGATGGTGGGTGACACGGGGGTCCCCAGAGCCCCCCAGGCTGATGCTGGGCCCCCCCAGCGTGCTCAGAGCCCCCAGGATGACGGTGGGGTCCCTGGGAGTGTGCCCTGGGGGTCCCCCATACCCCCTCCCCCAGGGTGGTGCTGAGATCCCCTGGATGTGCTCAGGCCACCCAGAGTGACTGGGGTCCCCCAGGGTGCTCAGACCACCCAAAGTGACTCTGGGGTCCCCCAGGGTGCTCAGACCACCCAAAGTGACTCTGGGGTCCCCAGGGTGCTCAGACCACCCAGAGTGACTCTGGGGTTCCCCAGGGTGCTCAGACCACCCAGAGTGACTCTGGGGTTCCCCAGGGTGTGTGCTGGGGGTCCCCAGACCCCCCTGGTGTGACA